GCTACCAAGAGGTGGAAGTGGTCTAGTTAAAGCAAAAGCAGACTGGTCAAGAACAAAGGTCATGACAAGAGACTTTTGGGATGCTCAAGGCATTTTGCTTGTTGACTTTCTGGGGAGCCAAAGAATGATAATATTTGCTTATTGTGAGTGTTTTGAGAAAATTAGCCAACATTTCAGCAAAACCAACAAACAAAAAAAACACCCAGGGAAGCTATACCAGAGAGTCCTTCTCCACCAGGACAGTGTTCCTGCTCATCCTCTCATCAAAAAAGGACAATTTTGTAAGAGTTTTGATGGGAAATTATTAGGCATTCACTTATAGTCTTTTTTTTTTTTTTTTTTTGAGTTGGAGTCTTACTTTGTTGCACAGGCTGGAGTGCAGTGGTGTGATCTTGGCTCACTGTAACCACCGCCTGCCAGGTTCAAACAATTCTCCTGCCTCAGCCTCTCGAGTATCTGGGATTACAGGCATGATCCACCACATCCCGAGTATCTGGGATTACAGGCATGATCCACCACATACAAAAAAAAATTTTTTTTGTATTTTTAGTACAGATGGGGTTTCACCATGTTGACCAGACTGATCTTGAACTCCTGACCTCAGGTCCTCAGGTGATTCGCCTGTCTCAGCCTTCCAAAGTGCTGGGATTACAGGTGTGAGCCACTGCGCCTGGCCTGACTTACAGTCTTGATTTGGCTCTATCTGACTTCTTTTTCTTTCCTAATCTTAAAAAAATCTTTAAAGGGCACCCATTTTTCTTCAGTTAATAATGTAAAAAGAACTGCATTGATGTGGTTAAATTCCTGGAACCCTCAGTTCTTTAGAGATGGACTAATGGCTGGCATCATTACTCACGAAAGTATCTTGAACTTGATGGAGCTTATGTTGAGAAATGAAGTTTATATTTTCATTATCTTTTAATTTCTTTTTTAAATGAGTTTTTTGAAGTCCCCTTGTATACATTTTAATCCTCAGGGAATAAAGAAAGGAGGAAGTCCTAGCCCTGTGCTTTCCGCCTAGGTACAGTGTCTGAAAGTCAGACCAGTATTCACCCTTTGAAATTTGAGGTTTCCATTCAGGAGGTTCTCAAAGAGAATAAATGAGATTGCTATGCAGGTAGAATCAAAGAGCACACAGCTTCTTTATCATAATCAAAATAATGCCATTTTCACAACAAAATTCACCTGCTTATGTACATTGTAAATCGTTGCCTTGATAAGCTTCCCAGAGATAAAGTAATTCAGCTAAGTATTATTTCCAATTATAATTTTGTGTCATTATGAGCAACACAATACTATATATGGGATTGATTCACCGCAGAACTGAAATATAAATTAGGTCTTCAGAAAAGAAACGTAGATTTAAAAATCGTATTTTAGAAGGCTCAATTAATTAAATGTAATTAATTTTTAAAAATCAGCTTTATTGAGGGATGACTTAGATATTATATAATTCACAAATTTTAAGTGTACAGTTTGATAGTTCTGACAAATATATACAATCATGTAACCACCATCACAATCATAATATAGTGTGTCCATCACCCCAGGATGTACCCTCATGATCCTTTTTACAGTTAGTCTTTTTCTCCTATATTCTGGCTCCTGAAAACTTGATCTGCTTTCTGTCAGTATAGCTGTGCCTTTTCTAAAATTTTATATGAATGGAATCATACAGTGTGTTTTCTTTTGCATCTGTTTTTCACTTAGCATGATGCTTTTGAGATTTCTCCTTGTTGTAGTATGTATTAGTAGTTCATTCTTTTTTATTACTAAGTAGTATTCCATTGTATGCCTATGCCACTTTATTTTATTTTATTTTATTTTATTTTATTTTTTGAGACAGGGTTTTGCTCTGTCACCCAGGCTGGAGTGCAGTGGTGTGATCATGGCTCACCGCAGCCTCGACCTCCCAGACGCAGGTGATCCACCTGCCTCAGCCTCCTGAGTAACTGGGACCACAGGTGTGTGCCACCATGTCTGTCTAATTTTTAAATTATTTGTAGAGATGGGTGTCTCTGTATGTTGCCCAGGCTGGTCTCAAACTCCTGGCCTCAAGCAATCCTTCTGCCTTGGCCCCCAGAAGTGTTGGGATTACAAGTGTGAACCATCACACCTGGCCTTCCACAATTTTTTATCCATTCACATATTGATGGATATTTGGGTTGTTTTCAGTTGTTGCCTGTTATGAATACAGCTGCTATGAACATTTGTGTGCAAATCTTTGTTGGGATGTATGTTTTTATTTCTCTTTTGTACATTAAATTTAAATTTTAATTTTGTTCTGTATTATTTGTCTGTATTTTTAAATTTCTCAAGTGGGTAATACTGTGTACTTTTTTTTGAAATTAAAAAAATTGTGGCTGAACAAGGAAATAAAAAAGTAGGAGTGAGAGGACTCTGGAAAGAGTTACAGGGCTTTGGTTTAGAGGATTGAATGAATAGTGGTGCTGCCAATAAAGAAATTTAAATATGGCTGATATTTCCTATATTTAAGAAAGACCAAAGAGAGTCCATTGAAATGAGTCAGTGGGAAATCCCTCATGACTTCAGCCAGCACTCTTTCATCGGCCTGGGTCTATGGGAAGTGAAGTCTGATTATAGTCTGTGGAGCAGTGAATGGGAGGAAGAGATAGGGGTACAGGCTAAGAAGGGAGGAAGTCAAGTCAGAGGGAGAAGTAGGGTGGTAGCTAGAGGAAGATTAGAGTCAAGGGAGGGTAACAATTTTTTTTTTTTTTTTTTTTGAAGATAAGAGTAGCTTGAGAAGTAGCTTAAAGAAGGGGCCTGTAGAGAGGGAGGAGGTGAAGTTACTAAAGGGCTAATTGATGGAATAGGGTTCATGAGCAGATCAGATCTTTACAAGGAAGGTTCTTGCTAGAGGGGCCACCTATTCAGAACTGGGAGAGAAGAAAATAAGAATGGGAGCAAATGCAGGTAGGTTTGGTGAGGATCAGGAAATGGAGGGGAAGAGGTCATTAAATGTGGTCTTGGGGTTGAGCAGCAGATTGAAAGAGAATGGCAGAAGTTTGGGAGCTGATTAGTGATAAGGAAAAGGTTTGAGAATCCAATGAAGATTAGAAACCATGCATTTGTAGTGAAACCTGTTTCTAAGATTGGGCCCTTACCCACCTCCAGCTGTGCTCTGATAGGTGAACTATACAATTGATGTAAGGCTGGCAGATAATCAAAGCCAAGAAATTTCACGTTTTTTATCTGCTTTCACTTCTGTGCCATATAGCTTCTCTCAATATACTACTCATATGTTTTAAATTTTTGGTGAAGTTGATTAAACATTTAACAACAATTTTTTTTACATTTTTTATTGTGACAAAACATATATAGCATAAAATTACCATTCTGGTAAATTTACCAAAACCCATTGATAGCATAAAATTTGCCATTTTGGTCAACTTACTATAAATTACTGCCAATTCTGTACAGCCATTTGTTTAATGCAGTCTGCTCTAATACCCTCCAAGGCAAAATTGCAAATAAAAACTCTTTTTGATTTCTACTTAATTTTGGTAAATCTACCAAAAGGGCAAATTTTATGCTATAAATTTTTTTTTTGTTTTGACGTTTAAAATATGTTTTGTTTAAAAAATTGACAGGTAAGGCTGGGCGCGGTGGCTGAAGCCTGTAATCCCAGCACTTTGGGAGGCCGAGACGGGCGGATCACGAGGTCAGGAGATTGAGACCATCCTGGCTAACACAGTGAAACCCCGTCTCTACTAAAAAATAGAAAAAACTAGCCGGGCGAGGTGGCGGGCGCCTGTAGTCCCAGCTACTCGGGAGGCTGAGGCAGGAAAATGGCATGAACCCGGGAGGCGGAGCTTGCAGTGAGCCGAGATCGCGCCACTGCACTCCAGCCTGGGCGACAGAGCGAGACTCCATCTCAAAAAAAAAAAAAAAAGAAAAAAATTGACAGATAAAATTGTATGTATTTAACATGCATAATGTGACGTTTTGTATTATGCATAGCATGATGTATATATCATGCATAACATATATACATTGTGGAATAGTTAAGCCTAGGTAATTAACAAATGCGTTACCTCACACAGTTATCATTTTTATGGTGAGAATATTTTAACATCCACTGTCTTTGCATTTTTCAAAAATAAAATGTTATCATCTGGTCATGGTGGCTCACGCCTGTAATCGCAACACTTTGGGAGGGCAAGGCAGGAGGATTGATTGAGGTTAGGAGTTCTAGATCAGCCTAGACAACATGGTGAGACCCCATCTCTACAAAAAATAATTTTAAAAAATGCAATATTGTCTGAATTTCTTGAATTTATTTTTCCTACCTACTCGTAATTATATATCCTTTAACCAGTGTCTGCCCATTTCCATCTCCTCTCTAACCAGTCCAGACTGTGAGACCATTGTACTTTCTATTTCTGTGAGATCAGCTTTTTAAGATTCTACATGTGAGTGAGGTCATGTAGGTATTTGTCTTTCTGTACCTGGGTTGTTTTACCATTTTCACCATTTTTAAAGTGTACAATTTAGTGGCATTAAGTACATACAGAATGCTGTTCACCCATTATTACTATCCTACAATTTTAATTTGAGGCATGACTTTGTCATCTCTCTTCTACCATTTGTACCACTCTTTATCTATAAACTCAACAAAGTCCTTAACTGAGTAGAGTATTTGTGTATGCGTGTATATATATATATATATATGTGTATATATATATAAAATTTTTTTTTTTTTTGGTGACAGAGTCTTGCTCTGTTGCCCAGGCTGGAGTGCAGTGGCATGATCATGGCTCACTATAGCCTCTACCACACAGGCTCAAGCAATCCTCTCACCCCAGCTTCCCAAGTAGCTAGGACTACATGCATGCACCACCATGCCTGGCTAATTAAAAAAAATTTTTTTTTGTAGAGATGGGGTCTCTCTGTGTTGCCTAGGCTGGCCTCAAACCTCTAGGTTCAAGCAGTCCTCCTGCCTTGGCCTCCCAAGGTGCTGGAATTATAGGAATGAGCCACTGTGCCTGGCCAGTATTTGTATTTTTGATATTGAGCTTAATTTTGGCAAGTGCTGTGCAAGGCACAAATTGTGGTGTTAGCTTTCTAACTATTTGGTTGTAATTATTTGTTAATGTCTGTCTTCCTTCCTAGTCATGGAAAGTGCATGAGTGCAGGGGCTGTGTCTGTCTTGTTTACAACTATATTTGCACTGGCCACCACAGTGCTTGACACATAGTAGGCATTCAGTGATGTTTCTGAACAAATGAAAGTCCTTCACTGCAAGAAGAATTTATTTTAGTTTAAGAAGTTCTTTCTGAATGCTTCATATGAAGTAGGCAAAATTTGTATTCACATATTAATACAGATTATAGGCATGGCACATTCCAATGTCTATTTAATTAGTAGAAATCAAAAAGAGTTTTTATTTGCAGTTTTGCCTTGGAGGGTATTAGAGCAGACTGCGCACTAAACAAATGGCTGTACAGAATTGGCAGCAATAATCCCAAAGTTTGAAGGTTGTAGGTTAATTAGGATAACTTGACAGAAAGTAAGTTAATCAAATTTGAGAGTTTAATCTTCCAAGACTTTATGTTCAGACACACTTCAAGTATGTCAGCAGGTAACAGGAACTTTAGTTGCCGAATGCCCCAAAACACCAGAACTCCAGTGGATTTTCTGGCTTCCAGGAATGTTTTGGAGGAAGAAAAAGCAATAAAATGGTCTGGGGGTCATTTTGTTCCGTTACTCTATATTAAATATACTGGAATTTAAAATATTAAATTTTAAAAGATAAAAAGATGCAGTTTACCTATTAACAAATTAAATAATTTAGAAATTCTACTTTTCTTTGATGGTTACATTTATTAATGAGTTCTGTAATACTTTATTTAATATGAGTAAATATGGGCATTTCTGTGTTAGCTAGAATTAGAGTATTGCCATTTTTTTCAACTGGCTTATGGTTAAATGGAGGTAAAGGGGCAAACTACACATATAAGAATTAGTAGTATAATATTTAATACACCCCTGTAAGAGTTATCACAGTATGTCCTCTGTGAAAAGTAAGGGCTCCGTGTGTGTTTGTGAAAAAGGCCACTGGAGGCCCTTTTCAAAAATAAAATCTGCCTCCAGCAAGGTGTTTTTCGATCACGTGGAAAGGGGAAGAAAAAGCTATCAGGAGCTCTAGAATTTTTGTTTGTTTGTTTGTTTTGCTTCTTTTAACTCTCAAGCTAAAACTGGGGTTTCATTTTAGGAACCAGTAATAGAAAATTTCTTATGTACCTTCAGCAAAATCTAGTATTTACTTTGGCTTTTCATCGTGGGGATTGTGTGTGTGTGAGTACATGCACGCGCTTTTGTGTTTAAGCGTATAAGGCGGACACAGTGGGTACATGTCTTTGAAATGGACTTCTTGGCTAAAGTAGTAGTGAAAAAGAGGCATACAAATGAGGGAGGAGGGACAGAGAAGAGCAGAGTCACAGGAAACAGTGAATGAGGCTGCAGTCTCGGTCGCCCTTTCTTTGTCCCTCCGCTGTTGTCGCCTGTCTTATGATGATGCTGGTTTTCAGCCAACCTTGAGTGAGTAAAAGCAGGGTCTGGGGTCTCAGTGCCTGCGTGACTGATATGAGCAGCTTGCATTTCTGACTGGGCCCTGGAGTAGCAACAGCACAGATTTCCAGGAAACAGTTCCTCTTGTCATTTTTACTCCTGAGTCATCAAGTTTAGTTATTCAGATGTCTGCTGTTCCCAGCTACGTACAAATCAAACAAGCAGGGAATTTTTTTCTTTTTCTTCTCTCCCTCTTTTTTTCTTATTTCCATCTTGTTTGGTATACCTTTTCTTTGTTTAAGTCAAGCATTTGAACATCACTAGTTACCATTTCCATTAGCAAGCATAGGACTTCTGTCTTACTTAAATGTCTTCTAATGCTGTGGTGTGTCACAGTTAGTTGAGACGTTAAAGATGTTGCATACATGTGACAACATTGGTAAATCTCAAAAACATCATATCGAATGAAATGACAAAGTTGTGAAATGTCTAATGTGATGCCATTTCCTTAAAAAGTCATGTAAAGCAATCCTACCACATCTCAGAGAATCTAAAAGGCTATGCTGATGCTAAGATGCACTATTATTTTATGTGCACTGAGAAAGGGGGAAAATTGCCAATTAAATTGTGATGTAATGTCTCATTATGGATTGTAAGATACATCCACATTTTAGAAATGGTATAATGTTAAAAATATGCATTTTAAAATTGAAGGTAAGTTTAATTAAATTATTTCAAAGGAAATAAGGTAAATGTATTTTATTAAAGCATAGTTATGTAATAAAAATAGAAAAGCATGCATAGGAATGATATTCAGCCAATACAGGATGTGGTGATCTCTATAAAGGGAGGGAGGGAAATGGAGGGGGCAGGCCAGACGAGGGGCCTCATCTCTGTAATTTATTTTTTTAAATTATAAAGCAAATATTATCAGAGTTAAGATTTGACAAAATTGATTGGTAAGCACCTATAATTTTCTGAATGCTTTCAGTATTTCATAATGAAAAGTATGTATTTTAAAGGTACATTATTTATTTATTTATTTATTTATTTTTATTTTATTTTTTGAGACAGTCTCATTCCATTGCCCAGGCTGGAGTGCAGTGGTGCAATCTTGGCTCACTGCATCCTCCTTAAAGGTACGTTATTTAAAAGGTACATACAAAGCAAGTTGCAGAAGCCTGTATGTAGTGGATTCTATTTTTTTCTAATAGTATTTAATTGTATGTTCTTCCACACGTTTTCTTATGTCCATCGTACCATAGCTGTGCCTTTTTTGGTGGAAGTGAGGACAGATTCCTTTCCACATCTCCATTTTTGTGTCTGAATTAAAGATGTACAAGTATCATGTATTAGTAGTGATCAAACAAAGAAAAAGGTTTTTTTGTTTGTTTTTTGAGATGAAGTCTCTGCCCAGGCTGGAGCGCAGTGGCACGGTCTTGGCTCACTGCAACCTCTGCCTCCTGTGTTCAAGCAGTTCTCTGCCTCAGCCTCCTGAGTAGCTGGGATTATAGGCGCCCGCCAGCATGCCGGCTAATTTTTGTATTTTGAGTAGAGACAAGGTTTTGCCAAGTTGGCCAGGCTGGTCTTGAACTCCTGGCCTCAGATGATCACCTGCCTTGGCCTCCCGAAGTGTTGGGCTTACAGGAGTGAGCCACTATTCCTGGCTTGGAAAAAGTTTTTAATGGTAGAGATGACATGGAATGAATAGAATTGACTGGCCTTATTTCTTGCTGTTAATAAGCAGTGAGAAATGTTTCCATTATATGTTTCTTTGAAGCCCGCTTTCTGGTTGCTCCCTTATTATTTCTTTCTCAGGCTTGTGGTATCTAGAGAGGGTCAGGTCATGGAGTACCTTCATAAAAATTATTGTACAAGTGGAACAAAACTCAGTAGTATCATGCCTAGAAATCTGATAAAGAAGCACTTTTAAAGTAGAGCCTTGAAGCTAACAAACTTTTTTTTTTACCCCTTTACTGAAACCTAAAAAGAGGTCTGCAGTTTTTCCCTCCTGTCACCAGATCAAAGGGCTGTAGTAGTGTTTGCTTTTTTCTCAAGCAGTGAGGAATCAAAGGACTGAAGGGGCATTTGTTTTATCATACTACTTATAGGGACCCCTTACCTCCTATACCCATGAAAAAGGAATATTTCTTATATCCCATAATGTTCTTTTAGTATCACACCTGGGTTTTAATGTCCTTACTGTTAGAGTAAAATAATTTGGGCAAGGCCAATTTTTAAAAATGGCAAATACAATCACATCACTTGATTCAGAATCTCACTCCCTAGCATCTCACTTAATGACTCATAAGAAAGAAAAAGCTAAATGCATGAAGAGGTTCACTATACCATTACTATAAAATTTTCTTTTTTTTTTTGAGATGGAGTCTCTCTCGGTCGCCTAGGCTGGAGTGCAATAGTGCAATCTCAGCGCACTGAAACCTCTGCCACCTGGGTTCAAGCGATTCTCCTGCCTCAGCCTCCCAAGTAGCTGGGATTACAGGCATGTGCCACCATGCCTGGCTAATTTTTGTATTATTAGTAGAAACGGGGGTTTCACCATGTTGGCCAGGCAGGTCTCAAACTCCTGACCTCAGGTGATCCATCCGCCTTGGCCCCCCAAAGTGCTGGGATTACAGGCATGAGACACTGTGCCCGGGCAAAAAAAAAGTAAAAATTTGAAGTCAACTTAAGTGCCCCCAAATACAGAAGTGGTTAAAATGCTGATGACCTACTTTATGTACTGTGATGCAAATGCAAATGATAATGGTTACTGTGCAGCAACATGGAAGAGCTTGGTGAAAGCAGGATGTACCACATGACTATAACTCCAAAATGTGCTTGCATGTGAAGAGAGATCAGGGAATATGGAAAAATGAAGACATAGTTGTATTAGGATGGTAGAATTTTGAGTGAATCTCTCCCCCAACTATTGGTAAAAATTTTTGTACTTAATTCATTGTGGGCAGCCAGATCTTTTAAAGATAAATTTGCATTTCTCTTTAAGAAAATGGCAGATGGTAGGAAGGGGATACTAGAAAACTAAAAGTAGTGCCCCTTTTGAAGACAAAACTAAAGCAAAGAAAAATACAATAGACATGAAAGAATACACAACATAATTAAAGCCTGGAATTGCTTTAGTAGTACATGTATTGATTATTTAATTTTGTCCTTTAGAAGAAAGTTGGCCCAACACAATTACATGGAAGTTGGGGTATTGAAGAGGATTGGTAAAAGAAGTGAGAGGGTCAGGCCAGGAGTGGTGGCTCATGCCTGTAATCCCAGCACTTTGGAAGGCCGAGGCGGGTGGATCATGAGGTCAGGAGATTGAGACCATCCTGGCTGACATGGTGAAACCCTGTCTCTACTAAAAATACAAAAAAAAGCCGAGTGTGGTGGTGGGCACCTGTAGTCCCAGCTACTTGGGAGGCCGAGGCAGGGGAATGGCGTGAACCTGGAAGGCAGAGGTTGTAGTAAGCCGAGATTGCGCCACTGCACTCCAGCCTGGGCGACAGAGCGAGACTCCATCTCAAAAAAAAAAAAAAAGAGAAAAAGAAGTGGGAGGGTGAAAGCCAATGTGCAGGTTTATTCTTTTGTACCACCAAATAAACCGAATTTTTGGACCAACTTTGCTTCAGTCAATATTTGGTTATTTGCTTTGAAGCTATTTGTTTGCAATAATGCAATTAAAATTCTCAACAGAGCCAAAGTCTGACCCTGAAATGGTAGCATCTTAACTAATTTTATCATTTTTATAGAAATTGAACCCTTTGAGGACATGAAGTACTATTTCTTTTCTCTATACTTCTTGCTTTTGGTTTTTTCTTCACCACCAATTTATGACTACCAAAACCCCACAGATCCTTTAATTAACTCACAGCTGCCATCTTGCCACCATAGATAGAATTCGCGAGCTGGTGATGAATGGGGAGAGAATAGAAAAACTAATAGACTACAAGAATTTTAGACCTCTGTGGCCTTGCTGAACAATTAATCCAGCCCCTTCACTTTACAGGTAAGTAAACAAGTCCCAGGAATCCAGCAGTGAACCTGTGTCTTAGGACTTCAAGTCTAGTGCCCTTTCTATTGTACTTCAAGGAGAGAACTGGAGGGAGAGTGAAGCCAAAATATTGACATTTTAGTGGCTGCTTTTTAAGAAAGGATAGGACATTGGACTTGGTGTCATTATCATGTTAAGTTATAGAATTTTTAAAAACACTGTCACCTCAAAACAAAAATAGATCAAAGATACGACCAGGCAGTTCACCAAAGAAAAATACAATAGACATGAAAGAATACACAACGTAATTTAAGAAATGTAAATAACAAATGTCTATTGCTATCTCAAGAGAAAACATTTACTATGAGCTTTATTATTCAAACCATTGGCCTCATAGGGCTTCTTGTTGACATTCTACGCTAATTTTAGGAAATGTAATTATAACAGGAAATGTAATTATAACAGGAAAAAAATGAATGCAAATGATAAAAGACAAAGTATAACCCGTTCAATAAATTTTCTGAAAGTTATGGTAGTTTTAAACCTCTTTTTATTCATTCCCTCCAGTTCTGTCTAGCACCCATAAAGATGAATTATTGGCTGGATGTGGTAGCTCATGCCTGTAATCCCAGAATTTTGGGAGGCCAAGGCGGGCGGATCATGAGGTCAAGAGATCAAGACCATCCTGGCCAACATGGTGAAACCCTGTCTCTACTAAAAATACAAAAAATTAGCTGGGCGTGCTGCTGCACGCCTATAGTCCCAGCTACTCGGGAGGCTGAGGCAGGAGAATCGTTTGAATCCGGGAGGTGGAGGTTGCAGTGAGCTGAGATCGCACCACTGCACTCCAGCCTGGTGACAGAGTGAACCTCCGTCTCAAAAAATAAAAATAAAAAAAAAGATAAATTATCTCAGGTTGTATATGGCATTGATGGACCACTAGGAAGGAAGCTGTGAAGGGCTCAAATCAGTTGAGAATAGGTATCGCCACCTAATTTTACTTGCCTTTCCTGCCATACACAACCAGAAA